ATATACCTTCATTTATGGGCCAGGTGTGATGGCACAGGCCTGTAATCTCACAGCTCTGGGAGGCTGAGGCAGGAGGATCATAACTTTGAGCCCAGTCTGAGAGAGACCCTGTCTCAAAATAAGAATATATTTAAAGGGCCAGGGATGCAGCTCTGTGGCACTGCGCCTGCTCTGGAAGTACAAGGTCCTAAGTTTGATCCTTGGTACAAAAAAAAGGGAAACAAATTTTTTTTATTTATTTATTTTAAAAGGGCTAGGGATGTGGCTCAGTGCAGAGGCTTGATTTTAATCCACAGCATTACCAAGAGCACACAAACAAAGGGCAGAGTGGTAGCAACAGTGATAGAGCACTTGCCCACCGTATGTAGAGCTAAATTCAATTCCCAGTACTGCAATTAAAAACTAACAATTGGAGCCAGGGTTTTAGCTCAGTGTCACTGCACCTGCCTCGCAAGTGCAAGGTCCCGAGTTCAATTTCTGATAACGACAATGATGACAACAAAAAACTAACTAAAGTGAAAATACATTCTTACCAGCAGTTGAGAGGCTGAGGCAGGAGGATTGCCATGAGTTCGAGGCCAGCCTGGGCTCCATAGTGAGTTCAAGGCCAGCCTGAACTACATAACAAGACTCTCTCAAAAAAAAAAACAAAAAAACAAAATCCACTCTACAAAAATAGACAGTGGGTTGAATCAGCCCTTGAGCCATAGTATATGACATACCTGGTTCAAACTATTATAGTGTATTTACACTCTAAACTACTTTTTTTTTTAAATCTCAAAATAATACATGCTTGGTATAAAACTAAAACCTTTCAGAAATACTACAATAAAAGCTCCTCTTTAAGTTTTATACCTTGTGATAATTGCTTAAAATCTTTTGGAACATATTCTAGGAATTGTTTTTCTATGTATGCATTCACTTTTTTGGTTTTGTTTTTGCTTTGGTACCGGGAATTGAACTCAGGGCCCTGAGCTTGTCAGGCAGGCACCACACCACTGAGCTACATCCCCATCTCATATTAACTTTTAAGTGAGATTATATTGCATACGATGATCTGTACTTAATCATGTACTTTAGCCTTTTTGAACTAAACTTTTTGAACTTTTTGTGCTGTTGTATTTTCAAGGTACAAAAGGCAGTGGAAGAAGAAAATTGTTGCTTTGGAACTGTTGATACTTGGTTGTTACACAAACTCACAAAAGGTAAACATGACCGAATAGCTCTGTCTTGAGTATGTGAAATTGGATTGACAGAAAGGGTTTGCCTAAAAGGATGTGAAAGTTCATCCCTGCTCAGACATGCCCCTTTTCACTTGCCATAGCCCAGACAGTGTTCTTTGGTACCTAATAACTACATGTTGCAGTAGATTTATTTTAGATCTGTTGTAAGAAACTGCTGTGAAGGCCAGGCATGGTGGTGTGCGCCTCTAATCCCAGTACTTGGGAGGCTGAGGCAGGAGGACCACTGCAGTCAAGGCTCCTCAGGGCTACATAGTGAGTTCAAGGTCAGCTTGAACTACATAGACCCTGTCTAAAAATAACAACAACAATAAAAAATTGTGATAAAGCCTCAAATATAAGACTGGAAAACATTCTTTTCAGGAGTGGTAAAACATGGTTCGGTAGTGCATCTGCCATGTTGCAAGTAGATAAAAGTATAGGTGATCACAGCAGCTGTGAAAGTTTTTCCTCCTCTCTCTCTCTGTCTCTCTGTCTCTCTCTCTCTCTCTCTCTCTCTCTCTCTCTGTTTTCCCCCATTGAGGCAGGGTCTCGCTATGTAGTTCAGGCTGGTCTTGACCTCAAAGTGATCCTCCTATCCTAGAGTGCCAAGTGCTGGGATTACAGGTGTGCACCATCACACCCAGCCCCAAGTGGAAGATTCCTCTGGAGACCTCATGATGGAAGTGCACAATTGGAAATGAATTTAAGGATGGACAAAGGTTTAGATTATAAACAGATACTGATTTATATTACATGATAATAAATTTGTTATTTCCAATGTAAATTTAGGTTCTTCATATGCCACGGATTTTTCAAATGCCAGTACAACTGGATTTTTTGATACATATCAGGTAAAGACATCGTCTTCTTTTCAAATTGCCATATTTTTTATTTAGTTTGGATTTTCTTGTTTTTACCACTTTACTTTTATATTCTGATGATGTATTTTTATGATCAGATGTGCTGGAGCAGTTTCCTTACCTACGTGGCTTCCATACCACTCTCTGTTCTACCTCCTATAAAGGACACAAGGTAACAATGAACACTCACATATAATCCAGCAAAGCCATACTTGAATTTTTTTTGCTTTGGTGAGGAAAATGGTTTTATCACATGCTTGAGATGCTTGTACGTTCATTATATAACTTTTTGGCCTATGCTTTAAAAATTTGCTGAATTTTAGAATTAATATTTCTAGATAATAACTAACATTTTGATCCATCTCATTTAAAGCCACAATTTTGGAACAGTGGATGAGGAGATATTTGGTGTGCCTATACCAATATTTGCCTTGGTAAGTAGAAAACACAAAGATTTCTCTTTGCATAGTATAAACTTAAATTAATGTATATGAATATTGTGATTAAGAGACACAAAAGGTCCTTAGTACAATAAAGTATTAGAGCCAAGGGTGTAGTGGCCCTGAGATTGATCCCTAGCACAGAAATGGGGGAGATATACACACACATAAATATATACATACATACACATAGGCGATATCTACATGTCTGTATATACATATGTAGCTACATATACAGTAGTACCTCATTTCACAAACTTAATTTGTTCTACTGTTTGGAAAAGATGGCCTTGTTTGTTTGTGTGGAAAAGATAGCTGTGATTGTGTTCGTCACCTGATGTAGAATTTGCAAACAAGAACAAAATTTTGCCAAGGTGCTTCTGTTTGGGAACTAGATTGTTTGCAAACCAAAGCAATTGTGAACTGAAGTACTGTTGTATAGATATATATCTATATATAGATGAATCTATTTTTAAAAGCAGTCTTGCTATGTATTTCAGGCTGGCCTTGAACTCACTATGTAGCCCAGGCCGTCCTCAAACTCATGGTGTGATCCTCCTGCCTCAGACTCCCAAGTGCTAGAATTGCAGGCATTTGCCACACACCTGGCTAATTTTTCTCTTTAAGTGGGTCATAGATATAACTGAAAGAATCCTTTGCATTCTGACAAGAGGACTACTGTTGTAGTTTGGTTTGGTTTTGTGTCATTGCTGTGGTTTGAACCCAGGGTCTTGTGCATACTAGGCAAGCACTGTACCATTAATTAGGTTACGTCCCCTGCCCTTTTTATTTATTTTGAGACAAATCTCTTTAAATTGCCCATGCTAACCTCAAATTTGAGATCCTCCTGCCTCATCATCTCAAGTAGGTGGTGTTACAGACTTGCAACACCATGCCCAGATAAATTTTTTTTAAAAGATACTGTATTCTGAGTACTGTTTGGTTTGTATTTGAAACTCTGAGACAGATACATAGCTCCAAGTGATGGGGCCAATGCCCAGTTTTTATTTGATAACAATATAACCACCAACAGTTATAAAGCAGTTTAAACTGGAGGAGTAAGTTGCATTTATATTTTACAAAACCTGTGTTAAGCATCTACCAGTATAGAAGCTGGTGTAAAAATAAAAAAGTTACTTTCTTTCTCCCCTCCCCCTCTTTTTTTTTTTTTTTTTTTTTTGGTACTAGGGATTGAACTTGGGTCCTTGCGCTTGTTAGGCAGGCAGCAGAACCACTGAGCTAAATCTCCAGCCCTCCCTTCTCTTTTTTTCTTGACAGGATCTTGCTGTGTAGTCCAGATTGGTCTTAAATCACTACCACAGGTAGCCCAAGTTGGCCTTAAATTCATACTGATCCTTTTGCCTCAGCCTCCTGAGTGCTGGGATTACAGGCATGTGCCACCATGCCTGGCTTTTTTTTGTTTGTTTATTTGATTTTCCCTGACGAGATGAATGAGAGAGTCAGAAATTGAAAAAACTCCAGGATTTGCCACCTGATTAATAAGTCCTTTAGAAGCTCAGATATTGATTTTTCTTTGCTGTAGTGCTGGGATTGTCTTTAATGTTACAAACTCAAATGCTGCCTTTTGTTTCCTGTAGCAGCTTAAGCAGGAGGTAGAGAGCACCTGTCTCTAGATGAGTAGTCTCTACAGTAGCTGGAAACAGGTAAAAGGAGGGAGTTTGATTCCATGTTACAAATGCATATAGTCATTTGAAGAGAGTCCATTTTATTAAGCCTAGAGATAGGTTTAGGATTAGATCAAAGTACGGTTCTAGGCTAGTGAACAAGAGTTTTTTAGATTAATTTATTTGTGTTTGTGGCACTGAGGGTGAGATCCAGAACCTCACGTTAGGCCAGCACTCTTTATCCCTGAGCCTCACCCCCTACCCAAATGAATTTTAGTCTTTAAAATACGTATTGCCATATAAAGCCAGTGCTTCAAACTAACCTGGACAACTTATCAACTTAGCAAGACACTGTCTCAACAAAATAAAACAAAACAAAATGAAAAAAAATTTCAAAAGAACCAAGGATGTAACTCAGTGCAAAAGCTATGGGTACAATCCCCGATACTAGGAAGGAAAAAAAAAAAGGCAAAAGAAAAGGGAAAAATGATTACAGTAAGTGGGGCAGTGAGATAGAATGAAATGACGGCAAAGGGCCATGGGTGATGCTTCATTGTCTTCGGTAGGTTGGTGATCAGCAGTCAGCCATGTTTGGAGAGTGCTGCTTCCAGACAGGAGACGTGAAGCTAACCATGGGAACTGGAACTTTTTTGGATATCAATACTGGCAATGACCCTCTGAATGGTATTCAAGGTAAATAATTGGAATTGTCCCATTTTAAAATAAAATATCATTTTTTCTATGTATATTTGTTTATATTTAGCTTCATGTTTTATTTGTTTTAAATTTCTTGGGCCCAGGATTTAGCTTAGTGGTACTGCTGGCTTGCCTCACAAGCACAAGGTCCCAAGTTCTATCCTCTGTACAGAAAAAACCAAAATATTTTCTTATGAAGGCTCTAATTTGTTTTCCTTTTCCTCTTTTTTCCTTTTGGCAGAGTTATGGCTCAAACCTAGGGCCTTGCATATGCTACTAGGCAAGTGCTCTACCACTGTTCTGTATCCCCACGCCTAATTTTTTTCTGTGTTTCAGGAAATTATTACTCTTTTTGTGAATTGTTCTTAGGTGGTACTTGTCAACTAGTGGTTCATGAATGTTTAAGATCTCAATGACAGTTGCTAAGAATTTGCTTTCCCAAATGGAAGAAACCCTGTGATATACAAACCAAGAAATCCGGTGTGTGGAGCTATGCTCTGGAGTGCTAGAATGCCTGACTTTGGGCTCTGTTCTCCTCACATGGTTACTCAGAACTGTTTTTATTTATTTATTTGTTTGTTTGTTTGTTTGTTTGTTTTTGGTACCAGGGATTGAACTCGGGTCCTTGCGCAAGGCAGGCCACCAAACCGCTGAGTTAAATCCCTGGCCCTAGAACTGTTTTTAAAATCTTTTCTCTGTATTCCATTCCCCCATCAACTGTTACTTAGCTAGAGCAAACCAGTCTCATAATAACCTTTATTTCTGAATTAAAATGTTTACTGCCATGTTTCTAGACATGTCTGTTGCCAGTAAAAACTAGTATTAAGTGCTGGGGATAAAGCCCAATGGCAGAACACTTGTTCAGCATGCATAATGTCCTGGGTTCAGTCTCCAGCACCCCCTCCAACCAAACTAATATTTGTTGGTCATATTTTATGCTAGGTACTGGTTTAAGTTCTTTTTATATATTAACTCAGTCCATTTCTGTAGCAGCTCCCTGAGGTAGTGGACCATTTTATAGTTGAAGAAGTCAAAGTTAAAGGGCAAGAGGGCCAGGGATTTAGCTCAGTGGTTCCACCGCCTCCCTCACAGGCGCAGGGATCCGAGTTCAATTCCTGCTACCAAAAAAAAAAAAAGGCTAGAAACTGGTAAAATCACAGCTAGTAAATATGAGAGGGTTGTGATTTGAGCTAAAGCAGTCTGACTTCCTAGGAACTCTGCCATTTTTTATGTCATCAGGCTGATCTATTACATAGTTGTCTGAATTGTGTATTTATTATTTTTTATGACTTGTTTGCTTACCTGCTTTCTAAGGCTTTTATCCGTTAATTGGGTGGAAGATTGGGCCAGAAGTTGTATGCTTAGCTGAAGGCAATGCAGGAGACACTGGGACTGCCATAAAATGGGCTCAACAATTAGGTAAGTCATCTTCTCAATGAATTTCACAGGCAAGACTTCAAGAATTCAAGTTTGAAGCCAGGCATGGTGGCTCATGCTTGTAATCCCAGCACTCGGGAAGCTGAGGCAGGAGGATCGCTGTGAGTTTGAGACCAGCCTGGGCTACATTCTCACTAGCCCAGGCTAGTGAGTTCCAGGTCAGTCTCGACTACATAGTGAGACCCTGTCCCAAAAAACAAAGCAAAAAAAAAAAAAGGAAAAATTGATAAAAATAACTGTACCATATGTAAGGGAAATTAATAAAATGACAAATGGAAAAACGACAGAAATATAAGGATTTCCTAATAAAATGACCATTGCAAAACGCTATTCACATTGAATAATCAAGATAATGCACATTTAAATTGTCACCCATCAATATCTATTTTTAATCTGTTATCAGAGATTAATAAATTTGATGATACTCAGCATTGGTGGAAAAACAGAGAAAAAAGTGTTCATATTTTCCATTAGGACCAATGTTAATTAGCAGCCAGGCAATATGCATCTTTTTTTTTTAAATTGCTGTGTGTGGAATTGAATCTGGGACAAGTGCTCTACCATTGAGCTCTGTCCCAGCCCAGTATGTATCTGTCCTTTTATAGGTGCAGATTGTTTCTATTCATTTCCTATAAAATGAACACTTCTGTTTATTACATAAGAAAATCATGGAGGTATACAAAGCTTTGTACAGACATGGATGTTTAACACAGCAGTTGGAAATGAATTTGGTTTAATAACAAAGCATTAAATGTCAGTGTATTAGTACAATGGAATATTGCACAATCACAAATAACTGAGTAGCTACATACCTCATTGACATCTGTGCCACATTAAGGAGGGATGTGAACCACTTAAAGGATAGCCAGTATAATATTTTTTACTTTTCCTTAATTGTGTTATTGAGATATAATCCATGTACCATATAATTCACCTAAAGTATACATTTCATTGTTTTTTGGAATTTTCATGTAGTTTTACAAACATCACCACAATTTAATTTTAAAATGTTTTTATTTCTCCTCAGAGAGACACCCTTCCTGTATTCATCTTTTTTTGTTTGTTTGTTGTTTTTTTGAGACAGGATCTCACTATGTAGTTGAGACTGACCTGGAACTCACTATGTAGCCCAGGCTGGTTTCGAACTCACAGTGATCCTCCTGCCTTATACTCCCGAGTGCTGGGATTACAGGCATGCACAATTTGGTACTGGGGGTCGAACTTGGAACCTTGCACTTGTGACGCAAGTGGCAGAACCGTTAAGCTAAATCCCCAGCCCGTAACATTGTGTTTTTGTGTTTGTTTGTTTTTGGTACTGGAGATCGAACTCAGTACCTTACGCTTGTGAAGCAGGCAATGGAACCACTGAGCTAAATCCCCGGCCCAAAGAGACACCCTTACCAGGTGTGGTGGCAAACACCTGTAATGCCAGCATTCAGGAGGCTGAGGTGGGATGATTAAGAGTTTGAGGCCAACCTGGGCTACACAGTCAGATACTGTCTAAAAACATCAAGTAATAGGAAAATAATATTAATACATTTTAAAATATTCTACCCACTAATATAGATTCCCTTTTAACCTGTATTCCTTTTCCTGCTCCTACCCCTACGTTACCATTAGTCTACTTTCTGTCTGTATGGATTTGCTTATTCTGGATATTTTAGATGAATGGACTATCTGATATATGATTTTTTTTTTTTTTTGAGAGAGAGAGAGAGAGTCTCCCTATTTTGCCAGGGCTGGGCTTGAACTTGCAAGAGAGCTGAGATTTCAGATATGTGATCTTTTATAACTGAATTTTTCTTTCAGCATAATGTTTTCCAGGTCCATGCAGGTTGTAGCATATATCAATACCTCATTTTTATACTGAATAATTCGTTATATGAATAAGATAATTTTTGCATCAGTTGAACATTTAGGCTATTTCTGCGTTTTGGCTCTTACAACTAATGAACGGCCTATATATTATAGAACTGTATTTCATGGTTTTATAAAATCCATGAAACCATCTTCATGTGAAATATTGTATACCAAAGTATTAATACCAAGGTATTAATAGTTGTTGTCACTTACAATTACATTATTAGACAGGCTGTGACTTACTTTGTCCTTTTCAAATGAGTTTATTTGTTTAAAGAAAAATGTGATTGTATTGGTAAAAAAAAAAACCAAAAAAATCCAGGAGGAAGTATTTCTCTTTGAGCCTGCATCTGCATTACAAACATAAGATTACTTATTAACTAAAAAAAAATTTCAAAGCTTTTTACATTTTAAACTCTCTTCCTTAAGTGTATGTCCTTTAATATTCTAGCTGTGTCGTGTGTGTGTGTGTGTGTGTGTGTGTGTATGTGTGTGTGTATGTGTGTGTGTGTATGTGCATACATGTGTGGTACTGGGAATTGAACGAACCCAGGCTCTTGCATATTCTAGAAACACATTATTATTACTGAGCTACATCTCCAGCCCTCTTTTGTTTGTTTGTTTGTTTTTTTACTTTGAGACAAGGTCTCACTGAGTTGCCTAGAGGGACTCAAGCTTGCAGTCCCCTTGCTCAGCCTCCCAGAGTGTTGCAGTTACAGTGTGCCCCACCACTACCTGCTCATTTTCTTAATCTATTTTTTTCACACTATTTCTTTCTCCTATTTTTCCTCCTTTAGGCTACATTTGAGTCTTCAAATGTTCTTCTTTTTTTCATTTGGTTCATTTTTGGTCCACTTCTTCACTCTCTGATCTGTTTTACTATTTCAGTCTTATAAATATTTTCACATTTCCCTGCTTTTATTTAATCAGTGAATAAATGAGTTCTCAGAATGCCCCTGGAACTATGTGTGCTAAGAGGACACCAGTGGTGCTCTCTGCCCACACGGATGCTGCAAGTTAGCATGAAAGACGTACATTAAAAACATTAAATCTATAAGTAGTGGAGTGCAGCCTGAGCAACATAGAGAGAACCCATCTTTGTGTGTGTGCGTGTGTGTATGCATGTGCATGTTTAGTGTGAGGTCTAGTCTGGAGAGTCCAAAGGCCTTCATGAAGAATTGTTTCAGCTGGAGTCTGAAGAAAGAACGAGGGGTTGCTGGGTGGGGAAGGCATCTGGTCAGAATAGAGTGGACGAGTATGAACAGCCTGAGCAGGGATCATGATATATTTGAGGGCCTAGAAGGATGCCCTATGCCTTTCTCTCTCTCTCTCTCTCTCTCTCTCTCTCTCTCTGTGCTGGGGATTGAACTCAGGACCTTGCACTTGAGAGACAGGCAGCAGAACTACTGAGCTAAATCCCCGGCACCCTATGTCTTTTCTACAATTGAGGCAGTTCACCTCTGCTTCCTCCAATAACAAGGCTCAGGGGACATCTTCCTTCACAGTATGATTTTTAATTGCCACATCTGCCTGCCTCAACAAATCCTCATTTAAAAAAAAAAGAAATCCAACCGTACTGTATACCTGAAATGTACCAATAAACTCAATGAGAGAAAAAAAATCCTCATAAGACTTCATAAAAACATACTTAAAATTAGCTCAGTGGCACCTTGCCTTGCAAGCACAAGGTCCTAAATTTTGATCCCTGGTATTGAGCGGGGAGGATTAATCAGAACTCTTGTTTACTCAGAATAAAGGAAACTGGTTCCTTCACTCTGGATACCTTCCCGAGAGAGATGAAGTCTCCCTCCTGAGACAGGTGAGGCGAGCATCCTCTGAAAAAGAAGTGAATCCTAAGTGACGGTGGCTGGATACATGTCACATACAGTGAATGGGCTCAGAGAAGGTGGTGGCCTGAGTTCAAAGGCATGCCTTCCTCTAGCATGTCTCCTGCTAGGGTGACACAGTGAAGTATGGCCTGCTGTGGAATGCAAATGTGAATAAAGCCTTGGGTTCTCAAGGCTTTGTATCAAGGATATGGGGTTAATTTATAGTATTATTAAAATTTTACTTGGATAAATTTCATTTTCCTCCCCCTTTAGCAATTTTATTGATTTGAAATAGAATTTCATTTATTCCTGCTACTGTGTTTAATTTCATTTCACTCTCCCACCCAGCCTTTAAAACTTATTATTTTACTTTTGCTTCTTTTTTTTTTTTTGTGGTACCAGGGATCAAACTTGGATCTTTGCGCTTGCAAGGCAGACGGTGGAACCGAGCTAAATCCCCGGCCCTTTTTATTTTACTTTTTAACATGGAACAGTAACACGATTCCCAAAAACAAAATTGTAAAAGAAGTTACACTCAAAGAAGTTGACTCCTTCCCTCTGCCTTCTATCTACCTTTTGTAGATTGTTTTTTTGTCTTACCTATTTGCTTTTGTAAAAACAGGATCATATATGTATATTTTCTTATTTTCCCTTCTTTGTCATTTTTTGGTTTGGTTTGGTTTGGTACTTGGGATTGAACTCAGGATCTTGCGCTTGTGAGGCAGGCAGCGGCACCACTGAACTAAATCCCCAGCCTTTTCCCTTCTTTCTTACACAGGACTCCTATGCCATGAATGTTCTTTTGTACTTTGCTATTTTTCACTTACATTGCCTTCTGGGAGTTGCTTCACCTGTATTGGTTGTTTTCATTCTTTTCACACATTTATATAATACTGTGTTATATGTATAGATGTAGCCAGCCAATATCCTGTGTTTGGGCATTTAAATCATTTCCTTTTTTTTCTTTGTGGTTCCGGGGATCGAACTCAGGACTTTGCGCTTGTGTGGCAGGTGGCAATGCCTGAGCTAAATCCCTGGCCCAATAGTTTCTTTCCAATTTTTCAAAAATACAGACAGTGCTATAATGCTTATGTATATCCTTTTTTAAAAATATGTATTTTTGTATTGTTAGAGGTTATCTTTTTATTTCTTTTCTTTTTGTAGTGCAGGGGATCAAACTCAGGGCTTTTATGCATGCTAGGCATGAGTTCTACCACTGAGATACATTCCCACCCCAGGGCTTTACAATAAGAGTAAGTACCCAGAGCCAGGCATAGTAGCACAAGCTTGTAATCCCAGCACTTGGGAAACGGAGGTAGGAGGATTGCTGCAAGTTTGAGGACTGCCTGGGTTATATAGTGAGTTCAAGGACAGCCTGAATTACATAGTGAGACCCTATCTCAAAAAAACTAAAAAAAAAAGAAGAAGAAGAAAAGAATAAATACCCAGCAATGAGATTGATTTTTCAAAAAAGATACATAGTTGTTTTTTTTGCCAAATTCTTCTCTATAAGAATTATACCATTTTTCATTCCTCTTATAAATGTATCAGACTGCTTTCTGAAAGCTGTCCATACCTTGTTTTTTGTTGTTGTTGTTTGTTTGTTTTGTTTTGTTTGATAGTTCCACTAGTTTTCAACCTGTGTAGGCTGATGTAACTATTACCAGAATACAAATATGAAACACTTTCATTACCCACCTTCCTCCAAATCACCTGGATGGAGCCTCTGCAGTTGACCTCTGCCTCATCCTAATCCCTGACAAATAATTCATTCTCTTTCCCTAGGCTTTGGCCTTTTCCAGTATCCTAACACTGGGGTCGTAGAATGTATAACCAGTTGAGGCTGCTTTCCTTTATTCACTGTAATATCTTTGAGAGTTTCACCCTTGTTTTTTCTATATTATCAATAGTTTATTCCATTCCATTGCTCTGCAATTTTATGTCATATGGACATATTATAGCTTGTTCATTTGAAAGTGAATACCTGGGCTGGGGATGTAGCTCAGTGGTGCCACACCTGCCTCACAAGCACAAGGTCTTGAGTTCTATCCTTGATATAAAAAACAAACAAACAAACAAAAAGTGAATACCTTTTTGGGGTGGGATCGAAGATCATGTAAATACACATACACATCAGCTTTATAAAAGCAAAAAAAAATCTATCAAACACCCCCCTCCTTTGCATTCTCAGCAGTACTTGTTCTGGTTCTTTCTGGGTTTTTTTTTCTTCTTCTTCTTCTTTTTAAAAATTTTAGCCATTCTAATAGATGCGTAATATTGTCTCATTGTGTTTTGAATTTGTGTTTCCCTAGTGGTTAATGATGTGCAGTGTCTTTTTTTTTTTTTTTTTTTTTTTTTTTTTTTTTTTATCACTATGTAGTTGAGGTTTTGGATTTCAGGTTGTTTCTGAGTCTAGGCCAGGAGATGCCACAGAAAAGAAAACAGAAAGTGACCTCCAGTATGGTGGCGCTTAGTGTCCTGCTGCTTCCCAGAGTCCTCCGTTGGCTTTTCCCTGAATTGTATGTAGAAGTCTGGTTGGAGTCAGTGCGAGGCAGAGTGGGGTGTACTTACCCAGGAGCGTGTGTCAGTAGGCCCACTGGAGAAGAGTTCAAATAGATTACTTAGAGAAATTCTTCAAACAAGGGTGGAAGAAACAGTAAAGAATGCAAGAGTTAGACCTCCTTTTTTCTGTTTTTCACCAAAAACTTTCTTCAAACCAGCTGTCTAGTATGCTTTTCCATATCTTGTCTTGATTTAAATATTTAGATATTGGGACTTTTTTTTCCTCTCTAAAATGCATTTTATTCAGATATTTAATACAGTCAACTTCTTTGCATTGTTTATAGGTATATTTTAGGTGTACAGTATGATGACATTCATCACTGGGAGTTTGTACCTGTGTAATCAACTTTTTAATTGAGTTTATTGGTACATTTTAGGTATACAGTACAGTTACATTCATTGTTGGGATCTTGTACCTCTACATGAGGGACATTTTTTTTTTGTATTTGTTTTTTAAAGATTAATTTTATTGATACTTTTTTTTTTTTTGGTGTTGGGAATCAAACTCAGGACCTTGTGGTTGCCAGGCAGGTATGGCGCCACTGAGCTAAATCTCTGGCCCAGTATACTTTTTTTTTTTTTTTGCGACAGGGTCTCACTATGTGATTGACCTGGAACTCACTATGTAGCCCAGGCTGGTTTCGAACTCACAGCGATACTCCTGCCTCAGCCTCCCTAGTGCTGGGATTACAGGTGTGTACCACCACGCCCAGTTTTGTGCTGAATACTGGACCCAGGGCCTCTGCATTGTATGCTAAGCACACAGTCTACCATTGAACTACACCTCAGCCCCAGGAGAATAATCTTGGATGCTAAAAATACACACATAAAATTGCTTCTTGCCAAGCATGGTGGTGGCACTCGCCCATAATCTCAGCACTCAGGAAGGAGGCTGAGGCAGGAGGATTGCCGCAAGTTTGAGGCCATCTTGGACTACATAGTGAGACCCTGTCTCAAAAACAAAACAAAACAGGGCCAGTGATATAGCTCAGTGGTGCCTGCCTAGCAAGTGCAAAGTCCTGAGTTTTATCCCTGGTACTATGAAAGAAAAAAAATGTTTGATTCTTTAAGTAACACAGTTCTCTTAAAAAAATAAGATAAGAAGTGAGGCCTGTTGCGTCAAGAGCCTGTCTAAAGGGGCCATCTTGTCCCTCCTGTGGGCTCATCATTACCTGTGTAGTATGAGAGCAGAGCTGGGATAAATGGGCTCCAGGTTGACCTTTTACATTACATTATCATGGGCATGCAGGTAAATACTAGTTGTATAACAGTTCTGTTTGTCCCTCTCCCACTCCATTTTGTTTTAGGGTTTTATTGTTGTTTTTGTATTTGTTTTTGCAGATCTTTTCACAGATGCTGCTGAGACTGAAAAAATGGCCACAAGTCTTGAAGATTCTGAAGGGGTTTATTTTGTTCCATCTTTTAGCGGGTTACAGGTATTCTAAAAAGTTAATGGCAGTAGCAAACATTTTTTCTCCTGTCCCACTCAAAAGTATATATCTGTCATGTTGTTACTTGAAAATTTGAGGGGCACAGAACAAAATTAAGATGAAAGGTGCATCCTAGGCTGAGAAGTTGTGCTGACCTAGAACGAATTTCATAAGAGCAGAATGTCCCTTGTGATTCTGCTGGCTTAGCTTGTGCTTACAGAATTCAGCTGGCCGCTGTTTAGGACTCTTTCTGTGGAATGTCACTGTTGGAAGGCTTGTCAAGAACTTCTACATAACACCTGGGATTACTGTAGGATGACTAAAAATAGCCATTCCCCAGTGGGGGACAATATATCAGTAAATTGGCATTCTTTACTTAAAGTATACCATTGAAATTAGGAAATAGGGCTGGGGATTTAGCTCAGTGGTTCTGCCACCTACCTTCCAAGCACAAGGGCCCAAACTCGATCCCCAGTACCAAAAAAAAATTTTAGAAAAATAATATCAAGGTATACACAGTACTACACACACACATAATTTTGTATCTATATCTATAGATCTATCTCTATAAATATATAAATTATATATGAATTACATACATACTCTGTGTGTGTGTGTGTGTGTGTGTGTGTGTCTTTCCAAGGTTCACTAACTGTTTAAAAAATCAACTTAAAAAAAAAAGAAAACATTTCTGGCAGGTATAGTGGTTCATGCCTGTAATCCCAGCCCTTGGAAGGCTAAGGCATTAGAATTGCTGCAAGTTTAAGTCCAGACTGGGCTACATAGAGCGTTCAAGGCCAGCCTGGGCTATTAATAGCACTAACCTGTCTCAACAAAGCAAAACAAAGTAAACAAGTCAGTATTTCTTCTTGTTAATTTTTATGGTATGTGTTGGTTACTTTGCCTAATCAAAAGGTAAACTCAAAAAAGACTAAATTTTATGGCACTTAACTTTAGTTTTTTTGTTTTGTTTTGGTTTTTTGGTTTTTTTAAGACAGGGTCTCACTATGTAGTTGAGACTGAGCTGGAACTCACTATGTAGCTCAGGCTGGTCTCGAACTCACCGTGATCCTCCTGCCTCAGCCTCCTGAGTGCTGGGATTACAGGCATGCACCACCATGCCTGGCTACTTTGTGTTTAATTGAAAGACCTGTAATACTGCCTTTAATTTTAGAATATTGCTATAGAGACTTTATAAACCTTTTGAAGTATTATAAACAAAATTACTTTTGGGGAAAACTCATACTAGTCCATTTAAGCTCCTCTAAATACTTTTAAAGTAAAGCTTTTAAAAAATAAAATAAAGTTTTTGGGCTAGGGATCTGGCTCAGTGGTTCCACCACCTGCCTTGCAAGCAGAGTGATCGAGTTCGATCCCTAGAATCAAATAAAATAAATAAAATTAAAGTAAAGTTTTCTCAATGTAAAAATGGAATTAAAGTGTTTGTAGATGGGGAGAGGAGGAGGGGGTGAAGGGAGGGTGGGGACAAGGTGAAAAAATGAGAACCAAGACCTGTCAGGTAAAGGTACAAGATCCCAGTAATGAATGTAACTGTACTGTATACCTAGAATGTACCACTAAATTCAATTTAAAAAAAAAAGTTTTCTCTTCAAAGTCAGGACTTTGTACTTACGAAGCAGGTGTGACACCACTGAGCTAAATCCCGGCCAAAGTTTTCTTTTCACTTTTTAGAATCCATGTCGTTCTCAATCAGATAATGTCCAAAATTTTAAAGTTTGGTAGTATAACATAGAAGCTGGTGGAAAAAAATTAAGTCAGGGTGATGTAAACATTTAAATATACTCTATTTTCTTTTTTCTTTTTTTTTGAGGCAGGGTCTCACTGTGTAGTTGAGACTGAGCTGGAACTCACTATGTAGCCCAGACTGGTCTCGAACTCACAGCGACCCTCCTGCCTCAGCCTCCCGCGTGCTGGGATTACAGGCACCATCACGCCCGGCTAATATACTATATTTTCAAAAGCAGATTTAAGATACTATTTTGCCATCTGTGTATTTTCTTTCTTTGCTTTATCTGAAAGTTTATGAAGTATACATGGCGATCACATCCTCTTCAGAGTGGTGTGAGGCGATCAGCACCTATGACAGGACAGAAAGTGCAAAGTGTTGAATTAAGTTTTCAGGAGAAAAGTTAAATGAGTAATTGTCATTCACAAAGGTAGAGTTTCATTAGGTTACTTCTTGTTATTTCCTTCCTGAAAAATGTGCTAGGGGACTTAGCAGTGACTTTGTCTTGACAACTCTGACTCCTCCATCACCTCACATGCCTGAAAAAAATGATACAAAGTCTCTGATTTTAAAAAAATAACCCAAAAATTTAGACATGTTATAGATAGTATTTTTTTGAGGGGGTGCTAGAGATAGAACTCTGGACTTTGTGCTTGCAAAGCAGGTGATGAAACCACTGAGCTAAATCCCCAGCCCAAGATTTTTAATTTCATTGTGATAAAATGTCCTTGTCCTGCCATGATTTCTAGTATAAAATGAAGCTTTTTTTTTGTTAGTACCAGGGATTGAACCCAGGTCCTCGTGTGTGTTAGGCAAGTGCTCTAGTGCTGAGCTCCATCCTCACCTCCCCCTCGTTATTTTTTTCCCCAGTTCGTTTTTTGAGAGAGAGTTTTGAACGATCAAACATGGCCAGTCTTGAACTTGTGATCCTCTAAGTGACATTATAGGCACATATCACCCCACTCGGTTTAAGAAAAAGTTCTGTTTATTTCTTTATTGGTTTTTGGGTTTTTTGAGACGGTCTCACTATGTAGTTGAGACTGACCTGGAACTCACTATATAGGCCAGGCTGGTCTCGAACTCACAGGAATCCTCCTGCCTCAGCCTCCTGAGTGCTGGGGTTACAGCCATGTGCCACCACGTCGGCAAGAAAAGGCTCTTGATCAGAAACTGAAAGTTAATTGAAACAGTAGTGCATTGACCAAAGTAATGGGTAAACAGATGGCAGACCATGTCAGTGAGGGAAAATGAGAAGTGGTGTGGAAGGGAGGAGATTCACATTTATGATACTGCCCTTCATGATACAACACTGTCACAGCCTGGGGTAATAGGACGGCACTGAGGTGTTTTAGGTTTTGTTTGTTTCTTTTTGTTTTTCTTGGCCATGCTGAGGACTAAACCCAGGGCATCACACACGCTATACAAGTGCTCTACCACTGAGCTACATCTCCAGTCTGAGAAGTTCTTGAATATGTCAAAGAAATTGGCTCACTGGAAAGTCCGTGACATCCTCTTCAGGGGACAGCACAAGGGTGGGCCCATCCTGCATGGCGCAGGGTGGGCCCCTGGCTTGCTGTAGCGTGACTTGTGCTTCGGCGGGTGAGGCAGTGGACATTGAGGAAGCGATCAGTGCTCATGCGTCTCCCTTTGCCGCTGCTGCTGTGGGTGGCTGTAGTGGGGTCGGGGAGGCTGTGAGTCAAGTCCCCATCTTGAAGGAATGAGGGGTTTGCTTTGACGAGGGTTCTCTTGCGTGCAAGGAACAGGCTGCATGGAGTTACCCTCTAGAGAAGCTGGTTGTACCCCGTGCTGTGAAGGCTGGGACTGAGGCGTCTTAGTGATCATCAGGGATGTGCTTTGGGTTTCTGCTTCTCTCCATGGGTCTGCTTTTCTCCTTGCAATACTAGTGGGTTCCGCCCCCAATAACAAAATAAAACTAAAAAGACCCAAAACTTTACAGTTGGAGAGAGGAGGATTTGTATGGTTTTTTTTTTGTCTAAAACTTGGCTTTTAATTGTTTATATTTCAGTCCCCTTTGTTGATATGAATGTAAATAGAAGGTCCACCTAAGTCCAATAAACTGACTCAACCTTGTTTACAGGCTGTTAAAAGCTTATCCTTGTGCCAAGCATAGTGGTGCAAACCCGTGATCCCAGCAACTCAGGAGGCTGAGACAGGAGGATCACAAATTCAAGGCCATCCCAGGCATCTTAGTGAAACCTTATATCAAAATAAAAAATGAAAAGAGCTAGGGATGTAGCTTAGTGGTACATGGTTTTAGTCCTTAGTATGAAGAAAAAAAAGTTATCCTAATGGTTAACATAATGTTTGGGCTGTGTTTACATGGCTGGCTTTCTGTCCTATGTATTTCCCCAGCTCTGCAGATGTAATTTAGAACTTAATAATACATTGTGTTCTTATTGTCTCTTACTTTTAGGCTCCATTAAATGACCCTTGTGCGTGTGCCTCCTTTATGGGTTTGAAGCCTTCCACCAGTAAATACCATCTGGTACGAGCAATATTGGAGTCAATAGCATTCAGGTGGGAAACCCTGCTTCAAACTCTCTGTCACACTTTGCCACTTGCTTTATTAATTTGCTACCAAATAGAAACTTCTGAATTGCAATTGAATTATTTAAGTTATATTTTAATTCACACTATGTATGATATAATCTATTCTTGTTGCTTATTTATTTTTTCATTTTTAAAGTACTAGCATCACAAATTTGATAACTGAAAACTGAATGATTTTTTTGTAAGTATCCAAGGCTAGAGATGTAACTCAGTGGTAGAACATACACTTTGTATATTTCAGGTCTTGGGTTCAATCCTCAGTACCATAAACAAAAAGGAAAACCAAAACAAAATCAAAGCCAGGTGTGGTGATACAGACCCTATCTCAAAATAAAGATTACAAATGAAGGGCTAGGGATGCAGCTCAGTGGAAAAGACCTGGGTTCAATCTTCAATACTAGAAAAAAAAGTTCAATTTCTTAGCATAAAATTTGGGTTGGGGATATAGTTCAGCAGCACCATGCCTGCCTGGCATGAGCAAGGTCTTGAGTTCAATTCCCAGTACTGGAAAAAAAAGAAGAGGGGAAAAAAAAAAAAGATTCAAAATGAGAATTTTCAAATGTTTTTGTGACATTTTTCACGAGGGAGAATTCACGCTAATGTTTCAGTTATACTCAAAGACTAAAAATTAGAATTATTCATATTTCCTGTGATCATGTCATTATGGGAAAAGTATAGATTGTGAAAATTAATTATTAAAAGCAGATATGGGGCTGGGGATTTAGCTTAGTGGTTTTGTTGCCTGCCTCCCAAGCGCAAGGTCCTAGGTTTGATCCCTGGTACCTGGAAAAAAAAAAAAGCAGATATGAATCAGGAATGTTTATATTGTTTAAAAATAAAATGTTCTCTGACTGCAAAATGATTATATTTGATGAATTCTATTAAATGGTGGTTTTATGTCATCCTAATAACTACTAATTAAGTAATTTTTAATCAGATGGTAATAGGTTAAACTTTGTAAAATAAAAACTATGCTATCTTACATGAAAGCAAAAACACAAGGACGTGAGTTTGTTGCTCAGGTGGGCATCTGCTGGACCAGTCATGGTGAATCTATGGTACGAAGCCACAGCAGACTGTTTCTATAATTGAAAGCTCTAAAAGGTTCACCATCACTATGCTAGATGATCTTAAGTTAGTCTGTATATTTATTTAATATTTCTTTTGCATGTTTTTAAATAAGTAAAGTAATTATTTTTGAGATCAGAATAGAGAATTATAAGGATATGAATATCCTCTAAAGTAGTCATCTCATTTTTTTTAACTAGAAACAAACAGTTATATGAGATCATGCAGAAAGAGATCCGTATTCCTGTCACAAAAATCCGGTATGTACACTTTGTTTCTAACAGGTGAGCAGTAGCTGCTATTAATTAGTATTTTCATTATTATGATTTTCCAGGAATTCAAAAAGAGCTTATGCCTACCTCCTTGGCAATAAAATTCTTGGTCATAGCTAGGTATAGTGGGACACACCTGTAATCCCAGCAGGTGAGAGGCTGAGGCAGGAGAATCTTGAATTCAAAGACTGCATAGCAACACTGCCTCAAAAAACAAAAATTCTTGGAGGAGGATTTAGCTTAGTGGTACCACACCTGCTCGAAAGTGCAGGGTCCTAAGTTCAATTCCCAGTATCAAAAAAAAAAAAAAAAAAAAAAAAAAGGAGAGGAAAAGAAAGCTAATTTTGGATTTATGGAGAATATAACAGTATAAAATTTAGGGGGATATTGGCACTTGTATGTGTATTATATAAGTCTGAGATCTCTGAGTTGTAATTATCCTTGGCCCGGTAGCATCAGATTTCTTGACTTTCTTCACTGTCATATCTAAATGAGTTTTATATTGCTTTAGTTTAGTATACATTGCTTGTTTTGAACTAGTTCACAGCATATGGGATAAATGAAAACATTCATAGCAAGAATGCAGAAAAATGTTTATACATTACTCAGTAAGATCCTCTGTCATCAGGTAAATGTTAAATGATATTATTTTAGAATTGGGTTACACTTACAGGGTTTAGGGATGATGTGGTACAGTAGTACAGCACCTGCCTAGCATGCCCAAGACCCTGGGCTGGATTCATTGCCTAGCACCAAAAACATTTAAAAAAAGGAAGCAGCAGAACAAGGGGAGGGAGGAGAAGAGGAGGAAGAAGAGGAAAGAAAAGAAGGCAAATGAATGAACGTGGAAAAAACTTACACATTCAAGGATTTAAGAAAAATATGTAGCCCAGAGAAAAATAGTGAATGATACTTGTGTGGTAATAATTTATCTCATGTCTCTGACTCCACAGGGCAGATGGAGGGGTGTGTAGGAATGGTTTTGTCATGCAGATGACGTCAGACTTGATCAATGAGAGCATAGACAGACCTGCCCACTTTGACATGTCCTGCCTGGGTGCAGCTTCTCTGGCTGGCCTTGCTGTTGGTATGTGGGAATTTGTTTTGTTTTATTTTTTGAGACGGGGTCTTGGTGTGCAGTCCAGGCTGGTCTTGAACTCATGGTGATCCTCCTTTCTCAGCCTCCCAAGTGCTGGGATTATAGGTGTGCACCACTACACCTGGCTGGTATGTCTGAGTTTTGTTTAAAATAGAGATTTCTTGCAAACTTTTTTGTGTGTGTGTGGTACTGGGGATCGAAATGAGGACTTTGTACTTGTGAGGCAGGCAGTGGCAGCACGGTGTTAAATCCCCAGCCCCTCTTGCAAATTGTTTCTATAACTGAATGCAATAAATTCACATCTTGGTGAATGCAAAGCCAAAAAGCAGAAACAGGAGCTAAGAGTGATTAAAGATCCATTACCCGGATCAGGTAAGGGGAATACTAGGGTTATTTGTAAAGCAGTGCTCTTCCTGGAAAGAAGCGCTGTGGGGATTTAATTGGGAGAGCCTGCATACATATACTAAAGTACAGGGCACATTTCAGAACGTGCTCAGTTGAAGGGCACAGATGCTATGTTCAAGCTAGGAAGACGGTGCGCTGTGTGGTGGCACACTCCTGGAGTGCCCGGATGTGGAAGGCTCAGGCAGGAGGATCCACGTTTGTTTGTTTGTTTGTTTGTTTGTTTGTTGAGGTACTGGAGATCAAACTCAGAACCTTGCGCCACTGAGCTACATCCCCGCCTCCTGTTCTGTTTTGTTTTGCTTCTTCCCAATTACAGGTGTGTGTGCCACCACACCTGGCTGCACCACCATTCCTAGCAGGTATCCAAAGTTTGAGAGCAGCTTGGGCTGCATAGCAGTTTCCAAGCCAGCCTGGTGATTAATCTCACATGGATTAGTCCTACTTGGTGACTCTATCTTCTCAAAAAAGAAAATAGGAAAGAAAGCAAACCAACACATTCCTAGGTATGCATTGTTTAGAGTCTAGGGCACAAGTTCCAAAAAACAAAGATGGTGGACATATTTCTGGATTTGCTCAGTTTGCACATGTTTAGAACATGAATCCACCTGGTCATGCTCTGCCAGGTTTACTCTGAGCTGCCTAAAATAATAAGTGGTTCTGCTGCCTGCCTTGCAAGCACAAGGGCCTGAGTTTGATCCCCAGTACCACCAAAAAAAAAGAAAGGAAAAGAATAAGTCAGAGTAACTCAGTCACCTTGGTGCTCCTTTGTAGATTACTGAAAATAATTTTAGCTGAAAGGAAAACCTTCAGGTTATTCAATGTGGCAGTATTCTCCCCATGTGATAGCGATCACCTAAAGATGTCCATCTAGTTTAGCAGCACTTTTCCCCCCTATGGGGTGGGAGATTAAACTTAGGGCCTTTGCTCTCAGCTATATCCCCAGCCCTTTGTTATTATTATTTTAAATTTTGTGATGGTCTCACTAAGTCACTAAGTTGACCACATAGGACTTAACTTACAAACCTCCTTCCTCATTTTCCCAGCAAGTGCCACCATTGCAGCCTAGGTTGAACTTCTTGCTGGGCGGGCAGTGTCCAAGCGCCTGAGCTGTGTTGCTCCTGAGACCTCTGTCGTTTGGTCTGGCTCTGCCCTGCCAGCTGTCACCTCTCATTCAGAGCCAGGAGGGGTGGCCTGTAATCCTCAGTGGCTTTGGTCTCTAATATGGGAGGCAGCTGGTGTTGAAGAAAAGAATTAGAATGACATTTGCTGAAGGAGAGTCAGGCAGACTCGATTCAGAGGACTATTGAGAGAGGCATAGGAACTACTGTAATAAAATCTTGGGGTGGGGGAGAAAAGGGCAAGTGAGAATTTACAGCCAAGGGCCAGAGTAAGCAGCAGTAGGAGGAAACACTGGGGTAAGAGGAAATTCTGGCTGAAAACCAACCTAACAGGATTTTTGCTGAAGGCAGACAAGACCAGATTCCACCTGGGGGTTGGTGTGGAAGAGACATCGGGGTGATCAAATACTGAGGATTGGAGATTCTGGCTAAACTGACTTGACAAGGTTCTTGCTGAAAAGAGATAATGCAGAAATGAATACAGAGGTCCAAAAGTTGAAGCATAGTTGAAAAAGAGTTCAGACATTGAGTAGACATTGGCAAAGAAATCTTAGCCAGATGGGGTGGCACATGCTTGTAATCCAGACCTCCAGGAGGCTGAGACAGGAGGATTACAAGTTTGAGCCTAGCTGGAAAACTTAGCAATTTAGACCCTGTCTCAAGAATAAAGAAATTTTTTAAAGGCTGGGGATGCAGCTCAGCATCAAGACCCTGGCTTTAATCCTCACTACCTGCTAAAAAGGAGAATTTTTGTCGATAAGATTGTCTTTGGCTTTAGGAATTACTCCCTTCCTTTATTTATTGAACAGCATTTGTTGAGCTACGTGATTGATCCTCCCTGCTGAGAAGAAAGAGGTTAAACGCATTTTCCCTGATCTCTTGTGGGATTAGGCAGGTATCTAGGATAGGAAGTCAGAAGGAAGATTATCATACCTGTGTGATAAGCCCCGCAAGTAGCAACGGTGTGGAGCACATGGCTGGCTTCCCAGAAAATGCAACAATGAGTTCAAATTTGAAGGGGCTGGCGGACAGGGGAGGAGAGCATGAGGGGTGGGCAGTTCAATAGAAAAGGTGTCTCCTAAGCCGGGCGTGGTGGTGCACTCCTGTAATCCCAGCACTTGGGAGGCTGAGGCAGGAATCACTGTGAGTTTGAGACCAGCCTGGGCTACATACTGAGTTCCAGGGCAGTCACAACTACATAGTGAGACCCTGTCTCAAAAAAACAACAACAACAAAAAAAGAAAAAGTGTTTCCTGAAAAGGGAAGTGCTAATGTGATAAAACCAAGAGGGAGGTAAAATCTTGCTATATTACCTAGGATGGCCTTGAACTTGTGATCCTCCTGCCTCAGCCTTCTGAATAGCTGGGGTTACAGCCATGTACTGACAGTTTGTAACTCTTAATCAAGCAAATGTAGAATGCAGCAAAGAAATAATTCCAAGATATGTCAATAATTCTTGCAAGCTGAATAAATTAAGCTTGATATTATAGTAAATCATGACTGGTGTGGCAGCACATGCTACAGTCCCATCACCGGGAGGCTGATGTAAGAGGATCACAAATTTGAGTCTACCTTGGGCAGTGTAGTGACTCAGCAAGAACTGTCTCAAAAATAATCCTTGCAAGCTGAATAAATTAAATTTAATGTTATAGTAAACCATGGAATGTATGGTGGCACATGCCTGTGATCCCAGAACCCTGAGAGGCAGAGGCAGGAGGATTGCAAACTCAAGCCTAGCCTGTGTAACCTAGCTTCTTGGTGAGACCCTGATTCAAAATAAAACAAATCTGCTGGGATGCGGTTCAGGTTGAAGGCCATTTGTTTGATCCCATTCACCCCTCCCCCCACATTTAACAACACGTGTAGGTTATTCTTGCACATAACATAGTAGCTTGAGTTTTGTCCCCTTCATTAAATCTATAGTTAATTTCAAACTTTGGCTCTCTTATAGATGTGAGGCCAGAGCTCTGGGTGCAGTGGTGCACACCTGTTGTCCTAGCACTCAGGAGCTGAGACAAGGACATCACAAATTAGAGACCAGCCAGGGCAATTTAGTGAGATCCTGAACCCAAAAAAATATTTTAAAAAAATGGCTGAGGGCCCGGGATTTATCTCAGTGGCACCTCACCTGCTTCACAAGTGCAAGGTCCTGGGGTCCTGAGTTCAATCTCTGGTACCGCAATCAATCAATCAATACATACATACATACATAAAGGGGCTGGGAGCTGGGCGTGGTGGTGCACACCTGTAATCCCAGCAATCAGGAGGCTGAGGCAGGAGGATCATGTGAGTTCAAGGCCAGCCTGGGCTACATAGTAAGCTCAAAGCCAGCCTGAATTACACAGTGAGATCCTGTCTTAAAAAATAAAATAAAAAGGACTAGGGATATTTCTCAGTATAGAGCATCCTTGAATTTAATCCCCATAACACCAAGAAAAAAGAAAAAGAAAAACTTGAAAATTATGTACGTCCTTTATTTTTTTCTAAATGTACCCCCAGAAACTGTGTGTTCTATAGGTATTTAAGATAACTTTTAAAATGTATATATTGGGGCTGGAGATTTAGCTCAGTGGTTCCATCACCTGCCTTGAAAGCGCGAGGTCCTGAGTTCGATCCCCAATACCAAAAAAACAAAAATGTATTTATTGGGGCTGGGGATTTAGCTCAGTGGCACTGTGCCTGCCTCACAAGCACAAGGTCCTGAATTGATCCCTGGTACCAAAAGAAAGAAAGAAAAAAAAAGAATGAAAAATGTACATCTACCTTAAAATATAAAGAACTATGTTTATATTTCATTCTCTCCCTCCCTCCCTCCCTCCCTCCCTCTCTGTGTGTGTGTGTGTGTGTGTGTATTGTCTTACAGTTCCTCTACCTAGTACTCCAAACAATTAAATTTGTGTCAGTTGGTTTTTAGTTGGTGCCCTTTCTGAAAGTGTATAAGTGATGTTTTAGTAATTCCTATGCTTAATTACTTTTTAATCTAAAAAATCAAACATGTAAGGTCTTTTTAGCATGATCATTATTATCAGATTGTAGAAAAGTCACATGCTGTCCACCTTTCACTACCACAAAAGTTGAGAGAAGGCAAAGAAAATGAAATCTTTTAAAGTGGTAACTCGAAAACAATATTTTGGAAGGTTGTGTTGATTGTTATATGTCAACTACTGGTTTTATAAATAGTAAAATACTTTTAGTTATGTAAAAAAAAGTTGTAGAAATGAGTTTTAAGAAGTATTTATTTTCATGACTCGATTCATCTAACTGATGTACAGATAGTATATATACATATATATAGTCTCTTAAAAGCTTCGATAAATTAATACGTTTAAGCATAATCTAAAATGCCAACTTTGTAAATAAAAAGAATGTGACCGAAAAGAAAAATTTTAAAATGAAAGCCAAGCATGGTGGCATGTAACTATAAGCCAAAGGCAAACATGGTAGTACCCAACTATAATCCCAACATTCTGGGAGGCTAAGGCAGGAGGACTGCAGATTTAAGCCCAGATTAGGCAATTTAGTGAGACTCTGTATCAGAATTTTATAAAGGGCTGAGGATGTGGCTCAGTGTGAAGGTCTTGCTTTCATTCCCTAGTACCAAAAAAAAATTAGAAAAATATTTTATGTGTCACTAAAATACCTTTCTATTTAAGAGAAAATGTACTTCAGAGTTTTAGACTGTGTTAAGTATTTCAAAATAGGAGGGATGGACCTCTGAGAAGACAAGAGATACTGCATTTACCTAAGACACCTATATCATTTCACACTGCTTTATTTATTTATTTATTTATTGGTTTTTTGAGACAGGGTCTCACTATGTAGTTGAGACTGACCTGGAACTCACTATGTAGCCCAGGCTGGTCTCGAACTCACAGCGATCCTCCTGCCTCAGCCTCCCCAGTGCTGGATTATAGGCGTGCACCACCACGCCCAGCCACACTACTTTATGATTATAGTTATAAATGTGTTCTTGTGCTGCTTTTTATTATAAACCACATGATCTAGTCTGGGCAAGGGGTGTTGCTTAGAGGCTCTAGGTTTAATACTCAGCTCCACAAAACAACAATAAATATATCCCATGATCCTCTTAGCAAAGAATAATACATACTAGAACTAGGATTTTATCTTGAATTGGATTTTTTTTTTTTTTTAAAACAGGGATCAAACTCACGTCCTTATACTTGCAAGGCAGAAGGCAGAACCACTGAGCTAAATTCCCAGCCCCTTGAATTGGAATTAAAATTGTATGAAATGCTATAGTTTGAAAAAGAAACTATTATATTAATTCCTAGCTTTGAAGTTTAGGTTTCTGACAGAGTTGCCACTCACCTGAAGATGTATGACAAAATATTAATTTCGGACTGGGGATTTAGCTCGGTGCTGTGCCTGCCTCACAAGCACAAGATCCTGAGTTAGATCCACAGTACAGCAAACAAAACAAAACAACCCAGCAAATCCCTCAAAGAAGAGACAGAACAACAACAAAATTCTAATTTGCCTTCACTCTGTTTATTGGAGTTGGGGTCCCACTATGTAGTTCTGGTCTTCAACTTACTATATAGCCCAGGCTGCCCTCAAACTTGCAGCAGTTCTCCTGCCTTGGCCTCCTGAATTCTAGGATTTCAGGCATGTGCCACCTTCACATTTGTTTATTTGTTTGTTTTGGATTTCTGAAATAGGGTCTCTATGTAGTTCAGGCTGGCCTTGAACTCCCTCTGTAGCCTAAGCTAGTCTTGAACTCACTGAGATCTTCCTGCCTCAGCCACCTGAGTGCTGGGATCACAGATGTGCTCTATCATACCCATCTGCCTTTACTCATTTTAATACAAAGGAAATATGCTAGGTATAGTGGTACACAGCTGTAATCCTAGCACTGGAGAGGCTGAGGCAGGAGGATTTCCAGAAATTTGAGGCCAGCTTGTACAACATAGTGAGTTCAAGGCCAGCCTGAACTGCATCAAGAGACCCTTTCTCAAAAACCAAAACCAAAAAAAATGTATGTATGTATTTTTTTCCTTTTTAAAAAATGCAGTTACCAGTCATGAAATTAAATGATGTTAAGTATGTCTGCTTTGAAAGTGATTTGGTACCATGCCACTTAGAAAAAAGCTGAACATTAGAAATCAAGATTTTAAAATCCTGGTGTATTTATTCCAGGAATAGTCCAATCTACCAGAAATCTAAAGCGATAAAATCGTGTGGATTGTTTTTCAAAATACTAGTGGTTTTCCTTAGCACAAAGCGCATGTGTTTGGTTATATTTTGTGGACTCATTATTTACCTTAACATTTGAGTAATTTTTTCATCTATAGGGTTTTGGAAGGACAAGGAAGAACTAAAGAAACTGAGGCAAAGTGAAATGGTTTTCAAGCCACAAAAGAAATGGGAAGACTATGAAATGAATATGGAAAACTGGGTGAAAGCGGTGAAGCGCTCCATGCATTGGTACAGCAAGGCTTGACAAGGGACCTGCCCAAGGGCGGCCCTCAGGGTCCCAGCACAGGGGATTCAAGGAGAAAAGGCTTTACTCTTTTAAAAAACAAAAACCTCTCACTTTTTAAAATCCAAATCCTGGTAAAATTACAAGGCAGCAGTACCTCAAAACTGTACATCTTCTGTTTTCTAGCAAAGTCCAAAGGACATTCGCCATTTCCAAGTGTGTTTTATGTCCTGGGTCCTCCTCTGTTATGCGGGGGTCAGTGGTGCACAAAGCACAGCCATTCACCGTCCAAGTGCTAACAGCTGTTGGCAAGCACCGTTTACCTTTCGTTCCACAATGGTGTGAGAAGTGTTTCTTCAATTCATTGACATTAGGTGGGCTATTTGAAACCCGTGTAGCTGAAAAAAAAAGTAACAGAAAACACGAAATTTTGAATCTTTAATATTTTATATGTAAAGCCATAAGTTTTCAATATTATATCCATACATAAGCTCAACATGTCCCTCTCAAATAAGTGTATTTCTTAGTGCTTTCCTTTATTGGGCATAAAGGCACTGCCTTAATTTTACCTTGTTCAACCAAATCTGAATCTTTTTTTAATATGTTGAAAGACCGATTTTTTTTTTGTACCAGGGATCAAGCTTGGGTCCTTGAGCTGGTGAGGCAGTGACAGAACCACTAGACCAAATCTGAATCTTTTTTTAATATGTTGAAAGACCGATTTTTTTTTTTGTACCAGGGATCAAGCTTGGGTCCTTGAGCTGGTGAGGCAGTGACAGAACCACTGAGCTAAATCCCTGTCCCAAAACACTGACTTTTAATTAACGGACTAAAAAGGGTATTGGTTTTTAAGAAATAGAAAAATCCTGCTTACTTTCCTTCTCAAATAGCATTTCTCTCAAAAACTTCTGGCTAAGGTTTAACGGGTTTTTTACAAGATGCAAGCAGCTAACATAAGTCTTGCTTTTCTTCTCCTGTTCTTTATCTTCTTAGCTCTAAGATGGCTGCACAAATGCCTTTTGTTTTTATTAAGTGCCTGACTGACACTTTAATTTAAGGAAAGTCCCCTAATTTATTGGTCACTTAAGAACTGCCTTCTTGAGGGCATTTTACTTCTTTGTCTGTCTGTTTTTCTGTTTGTTTGCTAATTTGTTTTGTTTTTTGCAGTGCTGAGGATTGAACCCAGTGCCTCGTGCATGACAGGCAAGCCCTGAAGTACATTTAGTGTTTGTCCAGTCTACTCATTGCTCTGAGATGAACAGCTGTGCAGGAGCTAACAGAAGGGCTAGCACTGTGTCCGCACTAATGATTTGCCTGTGGCCACTGAGCCAGAGACCCTGAGGACCAGCACAGTCCCCCATTTTCAAACTTTATTGCCAGAAACTCAAAGACAAGCCTTTGAAATTAACCTAAAGCAATTGACCACCCAGCCTGTTCTCATGGTGTTTGCCCCTCCCTGCATTTGGGGATTTGGGTTTGGATGAATGAATGGATTTATTCTCCTGTTGCCAAGACTAATCACATAAAGTCTTAGGGTTGTGGAAGTACCTATTAGAAAATAACGTTATTAGGTGATCTTCTTGTTATTGTCATGTATATCTGTTTTGGAGTCCAATATGATAGAGCAGTCAGATTGCATTTTTGCAAATCCCATTTCGGTGACCTTGAAGTATCTTCTTTTTTGTTTCTTTTTCTTTTTTTTGTAAAGTATCTTCTTGAGTTACTAAAATTTTCTTGGAGGGAGACATTGCAACAAATATATTGTACTGTAAACTCCATTAAGATTTGGAAATAAAGTGTATGTGGTGTCACGTACCTGTAATCCCAGGACAAGGAGGAGGAAGCTGAGACAGGAGGATTCTAATTTTGAGCCCAGCCTGGGCAATTCGGCAATTTAGTAAGACCCTGTCTCAAAATTTAAATTTTTTTTTTTTTAGACAGGGTCTCATTCTGTAGTTCAGGCTGGCCTAGAACTCACTATATACCCTGCTCTGGCCTTGAGCTTGCTACAAGCTTCCTGCCTCAGCCTCCCAAGTGCTTCGATTACAGGCATGTGTCACCATATCTGGCAAAAAAAAATTTTTTTTAAAGGACTGGGGATGTATAAAGCCCTGGTTTCAATCCCCAGTACTAAATAAATATCTCTTAGATAATGTGGGAAAATAACTTTAACTATCTCTCATTGGAACTGAGCCTCTTGCCTAAAAATCAGTGGTTAAGCCAGACATGATGATGCAAGTCTATACTCCCAGCTACATGGGAGTCTGGGGCAGGAGGATCACAAGTTTAAGGCCAGCCTGTATAGCTCTGCAACATACTGTTTCAAATTTTTTAAAAAGGGCTGAGGATGTAGTTCAGTGGTAGAGCAGCCCTGGGTTTGGTCCCTAGAACCCCCGCCCCCACTCCTGTGGTGGCTCTTTTTTTTTTTTTTCTTTTGTGATTCTAGGAACTAATCTTTTAGTGCTTATGGCCAAATTTAGTGACAAAGTTGAATAAATCTTTTGTCACATTTAACCAAAATCAGAAACACCATGACCCTTGTTTTTGCAGTTTTATAAACAGTTAATAATCAAAACCAATTGAGCAAAAAATTGCCTTTCCCATCTGTCAAGTTTACATTTCATTTGTATGCTAATACTTGCAATTTTTAAAAAATATGCTAATACTTTGCAGCATGTTTTATTTTCCCATTATGGACCTATTAAATATGTTTACAAGCCCTCCAGCAGTCTCAATAAGGAGAATGTTGCTGTACAGTACATCCTAAAGTGGTACTGTTTTTATTCTAGAGACTTACTGATTTTTAAATCTTTTGTACCCAGCATGAGTGGTCCCTGATCTCATCATCGACATTTAGCCTGGGTGACTTTGGGTTTTGGGGTGCTTTGCTGTGCATTATAGGATGTTGAGCAGCATCCCTGACCTCCACACTCTAGCTACCAATAGGATCCTTCTAGTTAGTATGGCAAAAAAAGTCTCCAAATAGTGCCATGATGGAAGGCAAAATCATCACCAATTAAGAACCACTGATGTAGGCTGTTAGAAGAAAGCTGAAGTCTCTGTACTGTTATGCTCCTGTTCTTTGTTCTTTTTACCTTAGGAAATGGGTTTTAGAAAAAAAAAAAAAGATAGTATTTTAAAATAAATAGCGTTTCTGCTTTGCTTGTTAATGAGATAACATAATCAATTTCCTACTGTAGTAGTCTTTTTTCCACCTCTGGTGCTAGGGATCAAACTCAGGACTCCAAGCCTGCTAGGCAAGGCCTCTGCCTCTGAGCTTCATTCCCAGCCTGTAATTGTCTCCTAATATTTTTATCCCCCCACCCCCAGCCCCACCTCTGCAAACTCTGAGGTCTTAATTAATAGGTCTGTGACTTCAGGATAGGATTTTATATATTCTGCAGATCATCTGTGATTTGATCTACTTTTCTGCTTCTCTCTCCTCTCTGAACAAAGGAAGCGATCACTCTCTTTTGTCTGCTTTCTGTGCAGACTTCCCCGGCCTGCAGGCTCCCTAATAGCAGAGGCCATGCCTGCTTCCCACAACTTAACACTGCCTTCACATTGGTGGGAAGAATTTCTACTTTATGTTCTTAAGTGTGCCTTTGTTGACAAGTATGTTTTATCTTTTATGTTATATACATTTGTTTATAGGAAGCTGCTTACATTTTTTGTAAGTAAAATATGTTTCATAGACCTTGTTACGAGCTAGAATCTTCATATTGCTTATTTAAAATTTCTTTACCTGTCTGTGTATTTGCAAATGTATTTATGTAGAGATATGGTGTAAATCCACAATCACACGTAATTAAACTTTTTTTTTTTTTTTTTTTTTTTTTTTTGGTGCTGGTGACCAAACTCAGGGCCTCTCACATGCTTTTACCACTGAGCTGTACCACCAATTATACTAATGTTGTAAGGTCTAATTGAAGACTTTGTATTAACAACTTTTATATTTTTTACTATAGATAACTGGATTGAATCTTAAGAGTGCCAAATACTCTGGTGCTATAGGGGGAAAATTCAGAAATACTCTTTTCTGCAAGGCACTTATCCTGGGGATCCACCTTTAATTTAAAATTGTGCAGCCCAAGACCGGGATGTGGCTGAGTGGTTCCATCGCCTGCCTCACAAGTGCTCAGGGCCCAAGTTCGATCCCTGGTACCAAAAACAAAGCAAAACAAAAAAATAAATGAAACAGTACAGCCCAGAAGTCTGGCAAAAACTGTATAATCCTTCGAAGAAAGGTATAACTTCACTGTGCCCTGGAGCTTCAGTTTTAATTCTAGAATCATCTTAGAGGTAGTCTAGAAGGTCTGAATCCATGCTAAAGGATTCTGCGTTCTTTTGAGACAACTAGATCGTGTTTTTCAGATAAGAGTTAATAGCCACTAATACACATTGGATCTTTAAGACTTGCCTAACCTCAGAATCATTTCTCAAATTCCCAGAGCCAGAGAATCTGGTACAAAGCAATCAAAATTACTAATCCTCAGAAGTCAAGCAGGTGATTCAGAATCATGATTAGTTTGGCTTTTCTTTTCTTTTTTTTTTTTTTTAAACCATAAATATTTTAGCAGCAGAAACTATTCTAAATCACAGGCAGTCCTGTCGCCGTATTCCTGGGCCTTTGACTCGGGGGAATGTGGAAAGGATCTTGCACATGGGAACGGTAGAGACAGGAGCCTGCAGAATCTGATATTTTGGAAATTGTTACTCTGTTTCTATTATCTTTCTTCCATTTACCAAAAATTGGTTTATTGTAAAATCGCTATGTCTAGATAAATATCTCTATTGCTTAGATAAAAATGACATAGGAGGGCTGGGGATTTAGCTCAGTGGTTCTGCTGCCTGCCTTGCAAGCTCAAGGACCCAACTTCGATCCCTGGTACCCCCCAAAAAGACATAGGGATTCTAATTTAAATGATGGTGGAGATGTAGCTCAATGGTAGAACACTTGCCTAGCAAGCTAAAGACCCAGCATTGCCAAAAACCAAAGAAAGTCCTTACAAGAAACTGCCAGTGTTTTCAGAGTAGCTGTACCATTTTACTTCCCACCACCAATGTATGAGTGATTTAGTTGCTCCACATTCTCACTAGCATTTGATGTTGTCACTTTTTATTTCAGTCATTCTCAGAGGTGCGTTTTCATAGTGTAGTCATCTCCTTGTTTTTAATTTGCATTTCCCTAATCAGTAATGATACTAAATATTTTTTCATGTGCTTTTTTCTTTTTTTAATGTGCTTTTTGCCATCTATTTGTCCTCTTCATGAAATTTCTTTCCTTTTGCCTATTTGCCAGTTGGATTTTTTGCTAAATGAGCCATATCTTGCTGCGTATATATTTATGATTATTACCTCTTCCTCTTAGATTGTTCCCTTTACGAGGATGTAGTAACCTTTGTCTCTCTCAATCAATCTTGGCTTGAAATGTACTTTGTCTGCAAATAAAGTAGCTACCCCTGCTTTTTAGTGAGTTCCTGTTGCGTAGAGTATTGTTTTCCATCCTTTGACTTTAGTCTGTGAGTTTCTTTTTTAATTAAATGAATTTCTTGTATGCAGCATATTGTTGACCTTGCTTCCTGATCAATTCTACCATTCTGGAGCCAGGGATTTAGCTCAGTGGTTCTGCTGCCTACCTCACAAGTGCAAGGACCTGAGTTCATTTCCTGGTACCAAAAAAAAAAAAAAAAAAAAAAAAAAAAAGAATTCTACCATTCTGTTTCTTTTGATTAGTGGTTGAGACCTAAATAAGCCATATCTAGGTATCTTTAAATTTTTTAAAATCAGCCCAGTGACTTAAGAAGTCATTCAATGGGATTTTTCAAGTCCTTTGAGGCGAAATGTTTATAGAATTTGAACACTATTTTATAACATTCTGAGCAGGAAGACTCACCTATTTCTTCTCCGTTTATTACAAGTTGTGGTTACTAATGCTGTGTAACAGCAATGAAGTTTCAAAGATACCTTTACTTAGAATGTTGTGTAGAATGTACTGATATACACTTTGTACATTGCTTTTGTCATATTTTAATCTTATGCAAAATAAGCTGATTTGTGTGAAGGTTTCAGAATGATTTTGTGGAAAATAAGGAAATTTTCTTTTTGTGAAAGAGTAAATATAGATTCCAATTTGTATGCATTGGTAAATTTATAATCATATATTTGATAGTCTTTATGATTGTCAACAGTTTTGTTAGTTGTTAAGAAACACACCAACCATGCCGGACATGGTGGTGCATGCCTGTAATCCCAGCACTCGGGAGGCTGAGGCAGGAGGATCACTGTGAGTTTGAGACCAGCCTGGGCTACATAATGAGCTCCAAGTCAGTCTCAACTACATAGTGAGAGCCTGTCTCAAAAAACCAAAAAAAAAAAAAATACAAACCATTTTTAAGATCCACAGAAAACATTCGGGAGCAAGTGCAGGATCCTTAGTTCAATCCCTGGTACCAAAAAAAAAAAAGAGAGACTAAGGCAGGAGGATTACTACTAGCATATACATCAGTAGAAATGTTTTTCATATGTATGTGAGTTTTTTCCTTATTTTTTTTGTCTATTTTAACTTTTAGTTTTTGACTATTTTAATTTTTCCTCGGCTTCCTCTAAACTAATAGGGATGGAACTCACACATGCCTCACATATGCACTATAAATGCTGTGATACTGAGCTATTCACCTGTCCCATTATATTTTATTTTATTTTTTGGTACTGGGGATCACACTCAGGACCTTGTACTTGCAAGGCAGACACAGTGCCACTGAGCTAAATCCGCAGCCCTTTTATTTTTTTATTTTGTGACAGGGTCTTGATAAGTTGCCCAAGCTGTACTCAAACTTGCGGTCTTCCT